CAGGAAAGTTGAGGTGCACATTTGATTCTGCCGTGATTTGGGCAGCCGTGGTTTTATGTTTTTTGGATACAATCCGGGTTAGCACCCGAACATCCCTTTCAGACAGCTTCCTCTTGCGTCCACAGTTAATCCTGTTGGATGTGGTTCGTCCTTCTTGGTGGTATGCTGACATTACCCTGGATACCGTGGCTCTTGATACATCACAAAGACTTGCTGTCTTGGTCACAGATGCGCCAGCAAGACGTGCACCAACAATTTGTCCTCTTTTGAACTCTGGTATGTCACCCATAATGTTGTGTGCATTGCAATATTTTGAGCAAAACTGTGCTCTTACCCTGCTAATTGGACCTTCACAGTCTGCTCTTATTGGTTCAATGTGCAATTAATGAAGATTGGCCACCAGGCTGGTCCAATTTAGCCATGAAACCTCCCACACTAAAATGAGAGGCGTCTCAGTTTCATTGTCCAACCCCTGTAAATATGTATGTATGAAAGTCTCATGATAGATATTTTTTGGTCATATCACCCTGCTCTAGCTTATCAAAGGAACAGAGTCAGGACTCTTACCTGTGTTCATGTAGCCTGTACATCTTTAAGGGACAAGGCATGAAGGGGTGTTCACAAAGTCAAGGTTTTTGACAGTTTGTCAAAACAAAGTGGCATAAGACTTAACTGAGCTGTGTACCACTAAGTGCACAATGATCACACTTTTCGATGCCTTTTGGCCTATTATAAAGAAACCTGTCAGGATCCTGCAACCAAACTGCCAACAAAGTGAATTGAATATAAACATTTTGTCCAAAAGCTCAGCTTTCATCAAGGATGTACAGCTTGACCTTCAGTTCAGGAAAAATGAGTAATGATCTCCCTGCGGTTAGTTGTTCATAAAGGTTTAGATGAACACAACAAATGGTTCAGACAGCAAAGTGCACCTTACAGGACTTTGGAATCCAAATGCATAACAGGACATCAGGCAAAACACCACTAAAAAACACCCACAGTCTGTTGTTAGTGTGCAACAACAAGGATTATTAACAGACAGACATGTTCCAAGTCTTTTATATAAGAAACAAATGTGGGGAACACAGTCATCTATTTACACCTAATAGTGTATTAGCCTACCTGATAAATGCTGGGTGACACAATTTTCCACAATTCACACTACAAAACAGAGGAAAGGAAAATTTGTTGAGAAATCAAATGTTTTGACAAATTAGGGGGGATGAAGACCAGCTGCACATTATGCAGTATATTGTGTTATGTAATGAATCTATAAAGTTGACAATATCCAAGACAGTCTGAAAAAGGTTATATCAGTTACCTGCACATTCATATCCCAATTTTTATAATGTTGTAGAATGTTCTTTTTTTAAGTGTTTCACTCTCAGGTGTTTGTATTTCAGAAAACTGTAAAAGTCCATTACAGTTTTAAATAAAATACATTGTTTCACTCAAAGCAAGGACTCCAAAAAAGTAAGGGTTTTATTATTTCAATTTAAGAAACAACAATAGGGAGTTAACAGAGACAACATAATGACCCAATCACAAGATAACAGCGAAACTAGTTGATATGTACAGTAACACCTTTTATCTAACTCTCCCTCCAGTATGGCCTCTATCTCCTGTTGAGATTATTATTATGTTTTGTCAGTCTGGACAAATTTACTAGATTGTGTTGTAATTTGAAGTATGCTTACAGTGGTCAGCACTGATTAGCTTATGCAATACTTATATTGTCTATGAAGATTCTCAGTCATCCAGGTCATAGTTATCCAACGAAGGTTAAAATCAAGGGCAACTTCCTGGGAAGTGATGAAAGGACCCCACTTACAATGCTGTCCTTTCATCACTTCCCAGGAAACTCAACAAACGTAACCTATTGGCCTCAGGTGAAGATACCAACGATGGTCGTTCAGTCTTGGCCACAGGTAGTCTTAACGACTGTAACGACTGTCGTCACAGCAACAAGGAACACTAACGAACCAGCGGTATCCATGACCCGGGCCAACGACCCCACTGAGGTTAAATAGCTGAGTTTCCCTGCCAGTCAGTCAGAACTGAAGAAGTCCTTTGGATGAGGGACGAAACGTCTTCCAGTATCTTCAACCAAGTCCAGTTGCCCTTGATTTTAACCTTCGTTGGATAATACTTATATTCTGTCTTTATAAATACTGCCAACCTGGAATCATTGCACTTAGGAGTAGACATGGATAAAATCCGCAATCCTAGTATATGTATTTTTACATTGCTTTATCAATATGTATCAAAATGAAGATACATTTTCTGGTAGCGTTTATGGATACAAAACAAATCTAGCAAATTTAATCATATTAATACAAAACATCCAACATTACTATAATGTAACCCTGCTCACTGTTTTTATAGCATTTTATATTGTCACATCGCCAACAAGAATTGAACTTAACACCACACTCTTGAAATAGGTCATTATTGCGGACATGGTCAATTAAAGTTTTGGTAAACATGTTTTATATGTGAATCAAACAAACATTCCCTGTCAGTTTGCTCAAGTGTACTGCTAAAAATAGACACAGACATATACAGTAATGACAGCAGAATACAGAGGCTGACATTTACTGAGGTGGGTGAAAGCACTTGTCAAATGTGGGACCTTACTAAGCCATGACACGAGCAGTAACTTACATCACAGCATAGCTGAGAGTGTTCGCCTGAGTGACAGATATATGTATTTGTATGTGCCCTTTTATAAGCATGTTAAGGCAGATTATGAGATTCTAATGTATAAGTAATAGTAAACTGATCAATAACAACACAAAGGTATCCGCTCTGTGTGTTTCTGCCACGCATTCATCCAACTGTGGGTTATGTACCAAGGCCGCTTTCTCAAAATTAAAGTGAAAGACTGAACCATGAAGTGGATCCTACATAACTGTGACAATGGCAACAAGACACAGACATCACTGATTCATTTGTTCTGATTGTTTTTAATGGTCAAAGGAATTTTGCTTATCTGCATCAAAACGTTTTCAGTATGTGAAGTATTTTCCTGTGCAGGAAAGTGAGTGTCTGTCCTGATCATTGGTAACTATCCTTAACACAGTACATTTCAGCTACAGGATATTTGCCTCTCTTTCAGCCTGTTATGTCTTGCCTCTTCAGTGGAGGTTGCCCCACCCTCTCACAATTACACAATCCATCATGGATGCATAAATAAGTTTCACAATCGTGGCAGACCTTGTTTTTTTTTTCCTAGACTAGGATACAACTGTAGACTCAGAGTAGAAAGGGCAGTTTGTCTTTTCAGATCTGTTAAATCAGAACTACTCTAGGTTTCCCTTCATCTGAAATTACTCATATTTACCTTTTAGCTGTGTTGTTTGTGTGTTTTACATTACTTATATACTTATATACTATATATGTCTTAAGGAAGGTTGACTTTATCTATTATACTACTATACTAGACCAGTACTGAAAATTATAATGCCAAACTTGTTTTGGATTTACTTCAAGTGCAGAGCAGATTAGGCAGCGATTTTCAGCCTGGCCTCTTTATCCCTGTGGCAGCTTAAATCCTTCTTTGCCTTTTATTACTCGTCCAGGGTGAAGATTTCCTCCCTTATTACTGTTGCTAACAGAGCCAACTGTTGGATGAAATGCTCTGTAATAATGATGAGTCAAGTAGTAGGTTTATCACTTTTATGTTGCAGTCTCAAAGTTAACCTCTAGTACATCTAAGATAGATTAATTTTGCAGATTATCTTACAACGATAAAACTGTAGCTAAATTAGATACCATCTTGAAGCACCATGCTGTGCCACCCAGCGAAAAAAACAGCAGAGATGTGAGAGTAACACAGTGAGGGCAGGAATGTGTCAAGAGAGTGCAGTGTGACCGTTCTGGCACAACAAGCATCTTCACAATTTTCAGATTATTCCATATCAGCTGAACAGAACGCAGCACATAAGAATTTAGGGAGACAAAAAAGCTCACTATATCATATTCTAATAAAACCAGGATATTCATTTCTAAGCCGCATAGTGAAAACAGCTGAAACTGGCGCCCATAAGGGGTCATCTGGAGCCCATGATGGGTCCTCAGGGAATTTGTCCTCCAATAGTTATTGGTGTTTGGCCACAATCTCCCACATGGAAGTGAAATTCTATGTCTTGAAGCAGAACATATTTCAATTAGCATTCATTGCTCAATAACATAATTGACACCAGTTGTGATGACATGACTTCAATGCAACAATATATCATTATGAGGAATCTGCTATGACAGGAGATTCAGAGGAGTGAGAAACTGAGTGGAGCTGATACATGTTGCACAACATTAAGCTGAGATGGCTAGGGTGGAAGGTGTGGGTTGTGATGCAAACAGTCTAGTACATGTATATTTAGCGCGCTTACAGATTGGGACACAGTAAGTGGGAATATGTTGAGTGGGAATCTGTGAAGGAGGCCAAAGTTACAAACTTATCATCTCTTTTTTTCTTGCAAAGCTCTTGACAGACTACCTGACTTTGTCCACAACTCACTATGAGTGGATCACAAGTAGGGTTAAAGGGTAAATGGGAGGTAAAACTGAAAATGGGAGTACTGATGATTCCTGGGGTGGAAAGACAATAAGTTTAGTCTGACAGATTCATAGAGTCTTCTCCTTGAAGTGAAAGTTCAAGATGACTGGCCTTTGACTTAGTCATGGGGGCAGACATGTGATGACTGGTGTGCTGAAGGCAGTGTAGATGATCACATGGACGTGACATTGTTGGGGGACATATCCTCAAACTTATGACAACTGAAAAGGCCATGAACTCTTGTCCAGGTCAAAATGAAGGACGAACTGTGAATCACTGCATTCCCACTAGCTGACGAATACAAGCACTGAATAGAAGAGGCTTTGAACTGAAAGGGCGGAACTGCAAATAGAGGGTGACAAGGCGCAGACTTGTGCAATGTTGCCTGCACATCAGGAGTTGCTGCACAGTAGCATTCTAAAGGCAAAAACAGGAGACTTACTGTTCGTTGACGACAAAGATGCAGTTGTCTTGTGAGGGTAAGCTTGAGACAGGATGCTTGCAGGTCACCTTCCGCTCATTGTGACTATTTAGAATAGGGAAGGGGGAAAAGGGGGGAAAAAAGAATGTCCAATCTTAGAAAGCAGTGCATACACATGCCTCTACAATAATCCCATCAATAATACTTGATCTATCATTAAAAATGATTAATAGATTTGCAGATTTTGACCTTAAAACCCAAACATATTTTCAAAGAACTCCAGCTCTAAAGGTTTGAGAGACAACCTTCTTCACCTGCAAAACATGAGACCAGCTGAGGTAGTGTTTGTATTGGCTAGGTCAAAATGGGAATACTGATTGGAGACAGGACAGATACACAATATGGAAATAATATTAGCAAGCTGAGCCAAAGGTGGAATTCATTAATCAAAAACTAGTCCAAACTGTAAAACTATGAAAACAAGAATGCATGGACATGAACAAGCACTCTTGGCACACAAAAATCCGGACAAAAACAAAACAACACCTTAAGTACCCCACAAAAAGACAAAGTATTAGCGTTACAGTCTCGAACACAAGCTGAAAGATGTTACATAGAGCATACAGAGCAAAAATACATTTTTCCTTTTCAGATAGGAGCACCATAGCTTTAGCTTTTACAGGTTGCAGCAGGCTGTTGTGCCAACCTACACTCAACATCTAATGACAGACATACTGAAGATGCCACCCACCCATCCTGTTGGTCAATTGCAGCAGCCCACAGTCACTTCCACCCTAACATGATTAGAACACCAGGACACAGACCACACAATCTTTGGAGAGGAGGAGTTGAAGAACTGGGGCCTAACAACAGCAGCTTTCCAGTAAAGTAGAGCCTGTTCAGTTCTGTTTGTGTGATCTGGATGATCTTGGGCGGAAGGCTCAGTAAACGTTCCAGAAAGAATCACAAGCTTCACTGTTCCTCATTGTTACTAGTAAATCAAGTTTTTGTTTCAACAGTGTAATTGGAATAGTTCATCAGCTTCCTATCTCATAACCTACAATTTAGAGATAGGAAATCGATAGTTATTTGATTATACTGTCAGTGAGTTACAGTGATTGGAAGTTTCGGAGCTGTAGAGAGTATTTTGTTGATATATTAATCAAATATATTGACAGCAGCGGAGATTAAACAAGACATTACACAATATGAGTAAAGATAAGAGCTGTCAGAACAGTGCTATGCTACTATTTGCTGGACAGTTATTTTACATTTCAACTCATTCAGGCTGTACTATAAACAGAAGAGAGTCAAACTACAGCCCAAAAATAACAGTTTTTAAACATGGGGTACTCGTGTACTGAAAAGAGCAAATACCAACCATGAATTGGGGGTTTAGTTTCAGTTTAGCCTGGAGAGAAACAGTCTCCACAGCTCTGGTCTATAATTATTGAAGGCACTGTTGGCAGCAGAGCACTCTGTGCGGTCTTGGGGCAGATCAACGGCACTATTTTTCTTTGGTATCCCTTCACACATGCTTATACTGTTCAGCACATATGTTGGCTATAGTTTTAAAAGAAAGAAAGAAAGTCTGGATAGGTATTTATGTACACAGGAATGGGAATGATGTTATGCAGAACAGTAGAGGGAATTTAATAATCAGTTCCAAACTATCCAATACTTTCAGCTTTGATACACTTGATTCCTTTGCAAATACTGACTAAATGCATGCACCGCACGTTTTCTTTCAAGTGGCATGCCTAAAAGGAAAAGAAGTTTAAATGGGTGCATTTTGTCAACCTATTAATTGCCAATGCATGTCAAGTCATTGCAGGAAAGTAAAGTGTTTTATAACTTCTAGAATAATTTACTTTGATTGACTATTGTATCCACTTTGGTATGGATAGTTTCTCTTATTGAGTGGCTACAAAGGCATCCATAAAGCACTGTCCACCATAACACCATATGTTTACTGCTTTACTGCACTACATTAGAGTGATGTATTATCATGTTCCCTGGTGTGGAATGGCATGCAACCCTTATATCTATACACATACGTATTAACACTTGTTTGGAAGGGTTTCTGCTATTGCTATTTTCACTGGGAATCAATATCATGTCTGCAGCTATATGCAGTTTTCAGTTGGGCTCAGCTCATTGTTTTGGTTTGGTTTATGTGGTTCAGTTCCAATAGCTCTAAATTATGGTATAGTAAGTATGTACTCTCAGCACACAAGCTCACAAACCAATTGTACACTACTTGCCCAATGTAAAATGGTTAAGTAAAAACATCCAAAGAAAACAAGTCAAACATCTACTGTAGCTAGCCACAAGAGGCCGAGACATTTTTCTCAGAAGCAGGCAGACCCAGCCTCCTAGCCTTGGCATACCAAAGCGACTAAAAGGTTGATTTGCCTTCGTGATGAGAGTGATGTCCCTTACTCATTCTATGCAAAGAGAGGGCTCCTATATGATGGCCACGTTGCTCTGTTTCTAAAATATTAGCCATACAAATTTGATACTGGAACTTGCGATTGACCCAAAAACACCCTGATTAAAAGCAAACCCCCTTTAACAACACTTGTTTATCAAGTGTTACTGATGGGACAGAAAGTCAAAGAAGATGGTTCAAAATACTTGCTGATGTACCCTACTTATTCGGATCACAACAATTTAGACATTTACTTTCTGGACCACTATATACAGTATTACATGGCTAATTGATATTTGTTTGATGACTTGGCCCCATTAATTATTGAATCCCAACCAGATCCTGAGTACTAAAGTTCATCCGGCCCACTCACCTCCTTGAGGGCAGATATGATATAAGGATATTTTCCCTGTAAAAATCAATAGATTGGCACATCAAATTAAATAAAATTCAATGTCTGAATTAAATCAAGTAACCAACTGAAATGCATAACCAGTTTTATATGTTAACAAAGTACAAGCAGATGAACCTGAAATTAAAAAGGATGTAAATCATATTGCCTAAAAAAAAGTGTTCAAAGCTATCCGTAACAATGTTGTCTTCAAAATGAAGTTGACCATGGTCATTAAGGTTATATCTATCAAGTTAAAAGGCCCTCCTGACGTTAATAACGTTTTTGCAGATGTGTGGACTGACACGTGTGCAAGGTCAGTGTTTTTAAGAGGGTGGTCTTTGACATCAAAGAGTCCCTATACCTATATGGACGGAAGTTATTTGAGAAGGTCCTAAACATTCCCAATGTGATCCATGTGCTATGGGAGCACACTTAGTTCTCAAACCTCAGTGGAAAACATGGGGGCTATGGAGTACCATGATGGCTGTGGTTGTGTGTAGGCCAAAACAAGCAGGATGAGTAATGGTGAAACTAATTTTACTGTTTAGTAGAAAGATCTCCTTTTTGGACAACTACAAAAGCAGCCCTTGACAATCAGTGGCTGTCTCCTTTTGAACTACTCTTTAAGCAATCTTAGTTATCCTCTTCAAATAATACAGTATTGACATTTAGCATGCCGCAGTGACAGTCTTGACAACGCTGAGAAAAAGAATGACGGCATCCCACACTGAAGATGTATAATATTCAAAATAAATTATATTGCCTCCGCATGCCATCACAAGCTGATTGCAAATATGACAGGATCACATTGCAAAATATTGACAGAATATGTGGGTTGGCTGCCTTGTCTCACACAACATAAGGGCTCTTTGAAAACATCACTGGATGATAATGTAATCAAAGTTGATGGCAGCAGCCACTGTTGAATCAAGATCAACTGATGGTGCACAGCTACCAGCTCAAAATCAAATTTCTTTTTGAGTAAATGTGTTTTTCAAAATACCTCTGCCAACTACAACTTAAGTTTACAGCACTATTTAAAATGGCCACACATGCTTTGGAGGATATGGTCTGTGGTCACTACAGTCAACATTAAGTTAGCATAAAATCATGGGGCTGTACAATAAAGGGAGCATATGGTAACATTTTTGCTGCAATAGATGGCAAACACATTGTTATGCTCTTCATTTAGGTTTAGATTTCTTCTTGTTTTCCAGAGGGAGATGTTGGTTTATTGGGTGGGTATGGGTGAAGGGTACCAGGGGGTTCCTTGCCTCTTGACCTCAGCTGTATTGAAGGGGGGGGACTAGGTGCGGCTGCAAGAGCTGACCACCCTGTAGTGAGAAGGGTTGGGCAGATTTCTTGGTTCTGGACTGTCCTGTCCACAACAATTAGCAGTGAGCTGCAGTAATGAAGAGCTTAAAGGGGTCAACACTCCACAGGCTTAGCTTTTATTGTTCTGGGTGGGTCTTTGATCCCTCACTCCCCTTCTACTACAGCTTAACCACAAAAACTAAGAGGCTCCAAAAAGGATATTTACATTAGAGAGAAGGGGACAACGTTGGATTTTAACACCAGAGTTTTGGGGCCCCACTGGAAGCTCCTTTGTGTTATTATTCTACTTGAAAACCAAACCTGGAATTCAGAAAGTCAGATAGGTTTTTAAAGAGGTGAAGTGGGGGAAAACATTTGGTTTAGCGTTCTTTTTCATGTCGTCTGTAAAGCCAACAACAGTCATTTAATTTTGGATTTTCAATGAGAAATTAGTCAGTCTGAAGTTCATTAAAAATAGATAAGGAATAGAAATGTACACTACAGACGTTAATTTGACAAGCCCTAAAGAGTCATTATGGGAGTAACTAACATCCTTACTTCCTACAGGCCAAATGGAAGATGGAAGAAAAAATAAATAACACTAGCTGTGGTCATTTGTAATGTCAAATGTTTCAGTGTTGTATAACTGTACACTGAAGGGGATTTCCTTTGCTGTGTTGTGTTACATAAACTTGAATTAATGTTTCTATAACTCATAATTAAGAGTCTGAGTTGATCTATCTTGTATGGGAAATGAGAGCTGGAGGAAGATTTTGATTGATGTGTGACACTTTAATGCACTAAATCACATCCATTAATAACTATTTAACCACTATGTATTTTGTGGCATGGAAGTTGTGCTCTAAAAAGGGAACATGGATCAGTTTCTATGGTTTATATCAAAACATGTGGTGTACAGTGTAGAGGAAACTGACTAGTTATCCTTTTTTAATTAAGGGGTAATATCTCTAACACTGGATTTACTGCAGTCAGTCATGCTGCTACAGGATTCAAGCTCTATGCTTTTAACCACTGATTTTAACTTGGGGAAACCTCAAGCTAAGACAGCCATGCCTCTCTGTCTGTCCTAACAACTTCTATGAATGTATACTGCTTTATACTGCTATGAATGTATACAGCACATGCATCGTAATTATTTTTAATTGAATGCTTTTCAAGTTTCTTCAAGTGTTCTAGTGACTGGGCATCCCACTGTACTGAAGTGAACAGTGCAGGTCAGAGCAATCAAGCAATCCAAGCGCTTTTCCCAAGGATATGATGTAGTGACACATACTCCGTGCAGTGCATGTGTTAATCACAGCCCTCACATTAGCTTAAATGAGAACATTTTAGCACACATTGCCCAATAGGATCACAGTGCATGGTACACATTTCAGCTCTAGATCCCTTAGCCCATATCCCTGTTCCTCATCTGAACAAGTCACTTACACATGTGACTACTTGGTGACATTTAAAACAAACGCTTTGCTTGTAATATCACCATTCAAGATACACACATTTTAGTTTGTAAATGCCAGTACCACACAGAAAAACCTACAGGCTATGTCGACAAAAGTTCAGCAGGAAAATATCTTGGTCCCTTAAACAAATCCAACAGCAAATCACCAAACAGCACCAAACAGAGCCTTTCAGCGATAATGAAGTCTCTGGTTAATGCTCATAAATCCTATTACATAGGAAGGAACTTGGACACAATGTTAGATTAGGCCAGTGAGTACTGATTAACGCTTTCACATAATCAGGTGAGCACTCCTAACTAGCATAAAAAAAAAAGAATTTGGCTGCAGTTGAACTCCTCAATACCACATGGACATTGACTGGAGGTTTGAATAGCGCTCCTCACAAAAGCTGAGCTGAATAAGCAGAATAGGCAGTTTGTGAGTGGGCATGTGGATGGCATCAGGATAAAAGACAAAAAATACAAACCAGGGGCTTTGCAGTCCCCAAGAAGCCACATGAAATACAGTGCAACAACATGAAGCAATGTGTTATCACAAAATGGAAATACCTGGAATGCTATAATATTCTTGAGTACATGTCTTTAAGGAAAAGTTGTAGAAACACAACACAATCACTGCAGAGAACACAGCCAGTAGCTTCAAGTGTATGCCCGTTTTAACGCTTAAAGCTTTAACTTTGACCTCAGACCTTTTCCTTAATCACAGAAAACAATTGCTCATCCGGGCTACAAATCAGATTTTTTCCACAAACAATTAAATTAGCATCCCCGCAAAGCAGCTGTGACTGTGTGCAAAGTGTGTCAAGGTGACACAAGCGATTCAAGAAGATTTCAGAGCCATGGAAACAAGCTGCCTTTTCGAGGAACAAAAATGTTGTATTTAAGGATAAAATTCTGTAAGTTACCAGGAGAGAACTGCAGCGTGTTGTAGTTATGTAAAACCAAGCTTCATTATGAGAATTGGTTCCTTAAAAGGTCTATTTATGAAACAGAAATTCACATTAACCACACATCTACAGCTTCTGTCTTCACTTTCATTGTCTGTAAACTCTCCTTGTTAACCATCTAATGTCCAATTTCAGGCCTCATTAATAAGAACAGCAGGCTAGCATTCAATATGGTCTTCATGGCAAATAAAGTACATGGAAGAAATTCAAAGGCAGTTTGTCTGAAGTACTGTATCAAAAACCCTATGATCATATTTGTGTTTTTATTTCCTAAAAGTTATATATTATAGATAGAACTCACATCCATACTGTGCAGCTATGTAGGTCCATTACAGGACAAAGAGCAGAAGTGTAGCACCCAAAATAGTACTCCAATCAAGGTCATATCCTTAAAGAAATAGATGGAAGGAAGGCTAGAAAGCTGCAGGCAATTACAAAATAAGGCAAATGGCAGATTAGACTACCAAATAGTATTTTAGTAAGATGTGTGAAAACGTGTAAAATATTACATTTAGCTTTGTTTCATACCATTACAGACTAAACTAGTAATAAGAAGTGGGAAGTAACAACTGCATTCAGGTGTTCATTCCCCTTTTACCACATACTGAAGTTTGGAGGTAAATTAACTGAGAAGCATTTGAATTCATGGAAAACTCAAAATGTTTCTTTACAAAATGCTACGCACACATGACTTAGTGTCATGCCCCTACTGAGGTTTTATTACAAATTGTTTAAACACACTTTGTTGTTGCCATCATGCAAAATAAACATCCAGCAATCTAAGTTCAGAAAGCACCTTTAACATTCATGTTCTCTCCATATCTCAGTAAAGGTACAAACATTTGACAAGAAGGGTAGGTCTGTATATGACAACCAGTAAATTGGCTGAGTATGGCAGTAGACCCTTCTCAACAGCTTTTTACCATTTTGCTGGTTTATCTCTCATGACTGAAAGCCTGAAATTAAATGCTGCTCCGCCCTCCTCTCCCCTTAATGCCCTATGCTCTGTAAGTGCTGAGGCTGGACCAGCAGCCAATAACAGTTCTCCATCTGCATAACTGTTGACCTGCTCTTTGATGATATCAGTATCTTCCACACAGTAAATGTAATTTATTTGGATGGCCCATCTGAATAGATCTGTTACATCTAAGATGGCTTGCTGAATACTAACACTTAAAAGTCTATCCAGCTGAAAGTGGACGGTCTAAAAGGGCTGTAAGAGTGTGTAATAATCACTCACTTAAAAAAGATGTTAGTTTGTGAATGCAATGATATTGTCAGTCAACTTAAATGTTGGATAACGGACACCACAAATAAATTCTGTCTGTAGGAAACATTGCAGAGACATCAATGATTCCAAGTCTGTAGGAAACACTGAACACTGAGGACAATGGTCACTGAGTGAGCTCATAGGGAAAGAAAAAAGCACTAAGGACAGCATAACCGTTCATTCTCTCCCTGTAGGTTTGAAGTGTCATCCTAATATTTTGTCTTTGTACAGTGATAGCAACCCTACACTCTATTGTGAGTATTCTTTTTAATAAATATAAGGGTTTTAGTTAGACATTACAAACAACTGTGCTGTGTGCAAACATCCACCTAGTAGTCAAAAAATCAGACCATACAGCCAGGTTCCTGACCACAAGCCTCCATGGAAATACTTCAATCAAAACATGAATCAAAATGGCATTTTTTACATGCAGACATTGAAATAACAGCTAGCTTTATAGATGATGTTTGTGTCTGTTCTAATGAGAGTTCAACAAATTAAGATAGCTGACAGCATGCCTAAAAACACATCCTACTGGATCATGGAGAACGGGTTCAACTGCTCCAAGTGTGTTTCCAGGATTTCAGGCACCACAAAATCAGAAAAGCAAATACAATAAAAGTCTTGTTGCTTAGCAGATGGTTGTGATCTGGTCTACAATGGTTTTTAAAGAGAGGACATAGTCTAGGTCACTGCAGGAGACAGTGGGCAATGCTATAATTATGGCTTAACCAACTGTGATTTACAGATAAAAGCTTTTAAAGATCATCCAGAACCAATGGACATTTCAGTAATGTTGGGAAAAGAAAATCTCATCTGCTGCAAATAGAATGCAGTCATGGGGGGAAACCAGTGGCTCTTCAGGACTGCATATAGTAAAGTGATGGCCAACGCTTCAAAAGGAAATGAAAATGCTATTTTTGATAACTGCAAATAGTTTCTTAAAATTGGCAGGACAAGCTCTCTTTTCTGTTTGAGATTAGATTTGTATCAACATTCAAGACAATAACCAGACAAAATACAAACTGAGAAAGAAAGTCAAAAGGAATTTTCCCTACAGTGGTTTGCTTTCACTGTTGTGTAAAATCATTTGAAACCCCTGGGGCTCAGCTTTACTGAACAGAATATGAGTTTTTAAAACTATGAAAGATAGAAATCAAATATCTGAATTTCAATTACCTTTCGGCACTGCAGTTTCACAATAGAGTAGAAAAAGGGTGTAAACATGAACAATTTACTTCATCAACTAGAATGGAAAAGACCAATTATCTATTGTTAAACAAACTACTCTGAGAAGACATCACTAAAATGGGCAAATACGTAATATGGCATTTATATGCTACAATGTGAACCCCACGTATACGAAACCCACTAACTTCAAAACACAGAGGTGCCTTGACAAAAGGATGAGAAAATACAGTATCATGGCATGGTAGTGTCCAGTGCAAAAGAGCTGCTTGCACAGCAAGCCATGTGAGGAACAAAACGCTGACTGGGAGCCTTGCAGGAGCAGGTCTAACTGCAATACAGCAGGCAATCACAAGGGCTGCATCCAAACTGCCTTTTGATAGCATCAACCATTACCGTCAGCACAATTAAAACACCAAACACCTAAATTATAATCGCGTAAGGAGCAAACCACGCTCAATGTATGTCGCACACATCAACAGCACTGCAGGCTTTTCTACTTACAATGACCAGTCTTCCATTAATGTCCAGGCAGTTAAACAATCGCGGTGAATCAAATGGGCCAGGAAAGCGTGCAGAAAAACACGCAACAGTTTTATCCAAATGTGAACGTCAGATGTTACGACGTCAGTTTCTTGTTACTTTGAAGAAGCGCGTGTGTGAAGTGCGCCAAGTCCGCTGCTGCTGCTGTGCTCTCACGTACTCGCGCTGACTGCTGCGCCGCGTGCGCCCGTAGTAGACACACTGAAACCCGAGAGGCGATGATGTCACGGTCCGGATGTAAAGCAAGCAAGGTGGCGCTTTCATTATTCCCTCCCAGCACAATTACAACCCGAGCAAACAGCCCATACACACAGACCGAGAGACTGAGCCGCTACAGTATGGCGATGGTGTCTTGGTAAAACGAATACAAGACTACTGTACTTCCTCTACTGTAGCCGCGTGGGATTTATTCTTTGAATGCAATTTACAAATTTCCAAACTCCAACATACATGTACGAAATGTAAAACTCCATGGAAAAATATGGGGCACTGCAACTTTCATAGCAGCTTAAGGAATTATAGTATTACAAAATCGCATGGAAGAACTGAAGTGACACGATATCCTAGATTTAAAGTTGTTCCATTGTTTATATGGGACCCTATCCAGGCAGGTCAATAATATCCACATAAATTAATTTGAGCTTTATTTCCTCTGTGAGCTATGTTATTTCTGGCATTTACTCCCGTATATGTGGGTAGTTGCACCTCCCTCAGCTCATTCTTCAGCAAGTCCAGACAAAGGGACATGTTAAAAAGGAACTATGTAGCAGTATTTTGAATCATCCTGATAAGGCTGTGGTAAATTTGTTGCAAAAATTCAGTTCAAGGAGTTGTAATAGTTACTGGAGCTATCTGGCTGAAGCTTGTTGGTTTCAAAAGGATGAAGTGAGAGAGAAAAACTGAATATCAAGTAGGTTCAGCAGGGAGCCTGCAGCTATTGAAGACATGAAAGCCCGGACAATGACCTCAGTCCAAACCTAGAAGCCAAACAGCTCCTCCACTCATCAACCTGCTGAGTGCAGTCAATGGTGCAGGAAGACACCCAGAGACAGTCAATATGCTCTTAGTGGCTGCTTTTCTCTCTATGTTCTCTCCATTTAGTGATACTTCAAAATTTCTTAAGAGTGCACTGTAGCTCTCAAAGTCATGGAGTTTTAACAAAACCTGAACACAAATAAATTCATTCTGTATTGCAGTCATTAGCATCATCAGTGTTATGTGAAGTACCTTGACCATCTCTACTTCATAAATAATGCATTGTGCTTCCATTATAAAGGGGGGGGGGGGGGGGGATGAACTAAAACATTCAGTCCTTCAGCTATCCTTGGACCTCCAGGAAGCCTCCCTTGCTGGAGCTTTAAGCCAAAGGATATTTGCACCACCTGGGGCGCAGAATGGACACCATACCCAAGAGAAAGCAATAGTAGGGGTAATAGTATCTGGAGGATATATGTGATATGATATTTAGTGACCCAATCCATGAAAGATGAATCTGTCGCCAATAAGGCTTGTGCTGTTATGCCCACAAAAAAGGTGTTAAAGGGGAAAGTCAAAGCAAGCTGTTCAGCCATCTGTGTGTGTGTGTGTGTGTGTGTGTGTGTGTGTGTGTGTGTGTGTGTGTGTGTGTGCCACAGGAGAGAATTTTTTTATCCAGGATAACTGAATCAATGTTTGCTGTCAGCATCCAAATGCAGCAACAGTTTACTGCTCTAAAGAAAATTCTTTCCACGGTCAAGCCCTTCACATTGTGAAGTGTTTAACAAGTAAGTTTTTCAAAGTATTCTCCTCAACAGCGTGTTATAAACTGCTTATTCATTGTAAGTAAGTCAGTGTGAGGGCTTCTGCTAGATGATTAAAAAGTAAATGTCACCATCACAGCCAACAAGCCTCCCACAATTACCGTACAAATACATCTTCAGTCTGAGGTTAAATTTTGTTTATGGTGTTTTACATTTTGGTGCCTCGTGGCTAAAATGTCTAGGAAGACCAAAAACACTTTTGAAATCAGTCACAATCAACCCAGCAGCTGAGCATTTGCTCTGATTGTAATTGTATGCTAGTCATTGTAATTTCCTTTTTAAAAAATTAGGAAACATGCCAAGATCAGGCTTAATAGGGGAAAAATCCAAAATAGTCCATAGACAAGTCCATCAGGCATCAGGGAATGGGTGTGGGAGACCTAACTACTGCTCCAAGAATCTTTTTAAGTGAGTGTGTGTGTGTGGGGGGGGGGGGGGGGGGGGGGTATGGCCACACAAACTGTTTCATCTCAACCCAAAACTTTACTACACTCCATCTTATGGCTACACACCATTAAGCTTTATGACAGAGTGAGGACAACATGGTGGACAAGCTCAGATGTTATCACAGCGGTTTGGCTCCACCACTCCTGTTAGGCCTTCAAAGTTGAAAGCATGTAACTATGTACTGTGTGTGAAGGTATGTACACAGACTATGAATAGCTACACCTGTACAACATAATGCAATCCTGCCCTGCAATATACAGTACTACCATTGAAAAGCTTATAATGATATCAGTCTGTTTTCAGACTGTGTCATACAGGTGATGACTCATCTCTGTGGTATTTTTTTTTTTTTTTCCCAGGCAACAGTTTGTTCTGATTTTGTGATAACAAGCATTATTTTGTGTTCTTGACATTTTGTCAATTTGATAATAAACAATCAAGAATGCACAAAGTTTCATTAATCCAAAGTGTGAATGGCTGAGTTGTGTACAACATGCTGTGCTAATTAATATACAGCATTGTATTGTTGTTCATCATGTTTCCAGTTAAGAGTCTTTTATTTCATTCTATAAGCAGTCATACCATGGATTGCAGTTGTTGTCCCGTGCAGTACAGTACAGGGCAACTGGACCCATAGGGTAGTCTATGGTAGTCTTCTCCTGTACGTTGTACCAATTATCAATGAGCAATAGAGCGTTTCTTTTCAGCTACAGCTTGCACTAAAGGCTTCATCCAATTCTCAGCTGACAGATGCCGAGGAGAAGCTTTCAGACTCATTAACTGCCCACACAGATTCAGAGAGAGACGGAAAGAGAGAGGGAATCGCTAAGTGTTCACATGTTTATCTACTCTCAGAGGACCCTCTTCTACCTGCCCACTCGCTCTCGTCTCCGGCTCTTTCCTCTTCCACCTACACTCCCACGTTCTCTCCTTTGTCACTGAGGTGCAGGGTTATTACCTGCTGGTGTTCTGAACAGCTGCAGGTACAGTGACTGCAAGCAACAGTAGCCTGAGTTTGATGGAGAAGAAGACAGCGGGAGTCAGAGCATTTGCCAGCACTCTGCAGGGGCCTCTGTTCCAACGGAGTGATAGCGAAAGAATACTTCATGCATAAACAGTTCCATTAACAGCTTGTCTTCAGGGAGCCACTGAGAAGAAGGGCTGAAATGGCCACCCTGTTGGTGCGTTGCTGTGCAAGTGTATGGGGAAAGGGGGGCTCTCTTGTGTGTCAAATGGAGCTGAAAAACAACAATGGACTAATGGGTGCCTGAGCAGTCACATCCAGAGACACAAGAGCAAGATCTAGTCACTCCAGTGACATCAGTGATTGCAACACAACAGAGGACTTTGTAGAGGTCAAATACACAGTAAATATTAACATCTGCTGATTAAGCCAAGGGATCACATGCGTCCTAATATAGTAATTCAATTTGAAGTGAATTCTGGAATGACACTTCTTAAAATACCTTTAAAGTACTTCTACCTAATTTACAACATGGGAAGATACCAGCCATGATTGATGCTATCCATCATGATTCCCAAAGAACAGAGGAGCAGAGAGAAACCTCTTGAGCTGATCTGCGATGGAGACAAGGTTGCTGGGAATTGAGAAATCCCAGAATAAGCCATGTTTTATCATCTGCGTTGACTACAGTGATGAAAGCATTTGTATCTGATACTAAACTCAAAGTATTTCTCTCAAAAATCTAAACTTACTGTGACCCCTCTGTCTCACTGTATTGATTGAATAGGTCAGCCTAGTTTACTCTTACTTTATTTTATAAATACTGAATTGATTTGTCACTGTCAAAAGTGACACAGTTCTTCAAAGTGCACATCATGTAAAAATACTAAGATAAACAAGTGCCAGATAAACAGAATTTTTATCCATGGCTCTTTTTCAAATGCCTTTTTTAGGCAGATATAATGAAAGGGAACTGTGTTTACTCTAGCACACTGAAGACAAGACTAATTAGAAAAATATCAAAAGGAACATGGATAATTTTGCAGAGGCTATCAAAATGAACCAATCAATGAGGAAGTCAAACTCATGGGCCCCCAGGCTGCCAGGAAGTTTAGGAGAGGTGAATGCTCTCATGAATTACAACAACCCACAGCCCATAATTACATGTGCTGGACAAAATATGCTCTGGAGGCACAGGCAATGTGCAGTCCTGGTTTTACACAAAGATGCTGAAGTCACAACAGTGATGAAGCAAAAAAGTGTGAGGAAAATTAGGCCTGCCGATCAGTGAACCCAGAGAGTCTTTCAAGCACAATGGCCCTGGTGAGTGACCTCACAGAAGGTCAGCAGAGAACAGAGGGGTCGGACAGAATCGCTTCACTGCTCAGGCTGCTTTGTGAGTCCTGGCAGCACTGACAGTCACAAATTCCAAAGTTTGCAAGTCAAAACACCAATAGTGATGCGCTCTAGCATGAGCCCTCACCCGGCCCTGCCCCCATCAACACAACTCAGCTAAGTCATGACAGCTGACCAGGTCTGGTTTTCTTTTTGCATTAAATTCAGTATCAGCAAAGGGTATAGAGCTCCCCAACTCCAGCTATCCAAGAAATATTTATAGATGCTTTACATCTTGGCACATACAACTGACAGCATCAGCCTGTCAACTTTCTGTTTACAACACTGAGGCAACCAAACACAGAGGTAATTATTTGGTTATGAATAATTTATAGTTAAACTGTTCAAGACAAACACAAAAACCTTTGGGTAGGCAGGACATGAATCTGTGGGGCTTGTTATACTGTTTCCAGCGAAAAACTACAAAAAAGTTGTTGGAATCTGATCAGAAGCATATAAATGGTAAGCTCTAGAGCTACGAGAGAAAGATATTTTTTGGTCCTGCATATGAATACAAGATTTTCTACTGCATACAAAACTGCAAGTAGAGTATTGGTTGGTTTCTGCTCCATAATATTGCCCCTTA